GAGCAAATGTTGCGTTTTATTTCTCTTCGTTAATCATTTGGTCCTTCGAATCTTTAAAGTGTACGAGCTGGCCACTCGTCGCTTCGAACCGTGATTCTCAAATTTAAAAAAAAAAAAAAAAAAAAAATCGCGAAATTATTTTACACAAGTAATCAATTGTAGCGGTTAGCTATTGTGTTGTGATTGTTGTGATTTATAAGTTGATATAATCATTGTTTATCAAAGTTCAACAAACAATCAAATATAGCGGTTAGCTATTGTGTAGTGACAATTGTGATTTATAAGTCATTAAAATCACTGTTTTTTCAAAATAAAACATTTATCGGATATAGCGGTTAGCTATTGAGACAATTTATCCAAGTGATTTATGAATTGTTAAAATCACGAGTTATTCAAAATAAAACACTCAAAATCAATTTAGTGCTAACGTAGATAAAAATCAAAAACCGTTTAGTGCGTCAGTAACATCGAACATTTGTATCATAAACAATTTAAAACAAAAAAAGTGCAAAATGTCGAAGCAAGAGCTTTTAAGTAGCCAGGCCATCGAAATAGATGAGCTGCAGCGTTTGATTCGCAATTATCGTAAAGATAGACAATTTCGCAAAACTGAACGTTATCTACAAGATAAAAAACTTACATTTTCCGATATGTTCAAAACTATTCGCGAAAATAATGAAAAATTAGAAGATTTTTATGATGAACGACAACCTTATTTTTCGGAAAAAACGTTTGAAAAGATTGAAACATTATTTTATTCGGTGATGGATGATATCAATAGGCAGCTGAAAAGCTACAGTCAGTCAAAAGACAACCAACAACATGACTCGCAATTTGATGACCAACAACCTGGTGGTTCACGCTCTAACGAATTACAAAACAATGGCGAGCAATCAAACGATCAACGAACTGATGAATTTCGATCCACTGAACTTGAAAACCAAAACGATCATCAACCGAATGTTCAGCAAAATGATGGTCAAACTGGTCAAAGCTCCAACAATTTGATGACCCAAAACGATCCTCAATCGAATGTTCAGCAAAATAATGGTCAAACTGGTCAAAACTCCAACAATTTGTTGACCCAAAACGATCCTCAATCGAATGTTCAGCAAAATAATGGTCAAACTGGTCAGAACTCTAACAATTTTGTGGATCTTCTCAATTCAACAATCAACGACAATTCTACACCAACGGAAAATCAACCATCGCTTTTGGACGTTCATTATACCGAATTTATGGATCTTCTCATTGATTGCCACGAGCTACACCAATCTTCACCAAAGGGATTGGTTCAAGTTTATTCTGAAAACTTAAAATCCAGTTTCAACGAGTTAAAAAAAATATGTTTCGAATTTAAAGTGACAGGGAAACGAGTGACTTTCAATTTTAATTTACTTCAGCATAAATATATTGAAATGACAGGTAAGCTCCATGACCTCTTTCGGCATAATTCCTTAAATTCAAATGTTACCTTTTCTGATAATCAATTTTCATTACCGCGTATAAAATTGCCAGAATTTTCTGGCAAACCCTCCGAATGGCAGGGTTTCAAATCTTTGTTCGATCGCATGATCCACAATAACGAAAAAATCGACAATGCAATGAAGATTGAGTATCTGAAAAGTTGTATCAAAGAAGACGCATCAAAAATTATTAAACATTTGGACCCGACACCAGAAAACTATAGCACTTGCTATGAGTTAATCAGAAAAAGATACGACAATAAACGCGAACAAGTGTCTGTTTTGTTTGAAAATATTTTAAATATTCAAAAAATAAAGTCCGAAAATGCTGAATCATTAAAAACTTTGCATGACACAGTTTTCGAATCATTAATGACAGCAAAAAATTTAAATGTGTCACATGAGCAGTTATTTGAAGCTCTTGTATGCCATTTGCTCATTAAAAAACTTGACGCTCAAACGCTTGTTCATTACGAGTGTCAATTGGCTGATGTTAGAGAATTGCCAAAATTGACACCATTTCTTGCGTATGTTGAAAACCGATTCATGGCGCTTCAATCTGTTGGTATTAAAAACATTGCGTTTAATCAACATTTTCATCAGCAAAATGGTTATTCAAAGTTTGAAAAAATTGAAAAGCATTCACATTTTAAATCTTCCAAATGTCTTTGTTGTGATAGTGATCATCAACTTTTTAAATGCCCATCTTTTATCAAAAAAATGGTGCAAGAACGCATTGATTTTGTTAGAAGTAAGCGTCTTTGTTTAAATTGTTTTTCTCCCTCGCATAAAACCAATGATTGCAAAAGTAAATTTACTTGTAAAACTTGTAACAAACGTCATCATTCGTTACTTCATTTGGACGTTAAAAGGAATGATGAAAAGATTATTAGATCGTCTGTGGCTTCAATACAAGAACCAGTCATTATTCAGGCCACTGTGGCTTTGCAAAAGCAGCTTGGTTCAGTTTTATTGGCAACTGCCATGATTGGTGTGCTTGGTAAAAATGGTTCAAGGACGTTACTTCGCGCCTTGTTGGATCAGGGTTCGCAAAGTGCATTTATCACTGAAAATGCGGCACAAACCTTAGGTTTGAAAAGGAAATCGATTTATGCATTGATTTCTGGCATTGGTGAAAAAATGCAAGCCGCAAAGCACATGATTGATTTGACTATTTTCCCTCGATTTGAATCAGAGTTCGTTATAGAATCCAAAGCTATTGTGTTACCAAAACTAACTCGCATCTCTGAATACGATTGTGATGAAAATGATTTTCACTTTACGTCTAATTTGACACTTGCAGATCCATCTTTTTTGAAAAATTCTGAGATTGACATTATTTTGGGTGCTTCTGAGTACGCTCAAGCAATTAAAACCGGCTTGATTAAGTCTGAAAAGAATTTAATCGCCCAGAATTCCGAATTCGGATGGGTTGTATCAGGCGCACTTGATACGGTCAATGTCAGTTTGGATGTTGTTACGTTGGTAACGAATGTCGAGTTGGATGAAAAGTTAAATCGATTTTTTGATTCAAAAGAGTTTGATAATGATGATTCAATGGCGTTAACGGCTGAAGAAGAGATGTGTGAAGATCATTATGAAAAGACTCATTATCGAGATGGCAATGGTCGTTATGTTGTTTCTATTCCATTCAAAAATGGTTTAGAGGAGCCTGATCTTGGTGATTCAAGAAGAATTGCTTTAGCTTCTTTGTTTTCTCTCGAACGTCGTTTTTTGTCGAATCCCGAGCTAAAAATCGAATATTCAAAATTTTTACATGAATATATCAGTTCGGGACATATGCATGAGGTAAATAATATGCATCCAAATGCGTATTACATGCCTCATCATGCGGTTTTCAAAGAATCAACTACGACAAAATTAAGAGTGGTTTTTAACGCTTCGCAAAAAACCTCAAATAAAAAGAGTTTAAATGAACAAATGGCTCTTGGTCCACGGGATCAAAGTGATTTGGTTTCAGTTTTGCTTCGTTGGCGTCGTCATAAAATTGCCTTCACGGCTGATTTGGAAAAAATGTATCGTCAAATTCTTATTAACGAATCTCAAACCCATTTGCAAAGAATTTTGTGGAGAGAACTGCCAAATGACCCTATTAAGGAGTATGAGTTACGTACTGTAACGTATGGAACGTCTAACGCTCCTTATTTGGCAATTAGAACGTTAAAACAATTATCTATTGATGGTGCAATTGAATTTCCATTGGCATCAGAAATTTTGAAAAAAGATTTTTATGTTGATGACGTTTTGTCTGGAGCAGATAGCCTTGATGAAGCTATAATTCGTTATTCCCAATTGATTAATCTTACATCATCTGCTTGTTTGAATCTGCGAAAATGGTCAACTAATTCAAAAGAATTATTTGCGCAAATTCCAATGGAAAAAAGAGAACTTCAAGTCACAAATGGCATTATTAAAGCGTTGGGAATTAGTTGGCTCACTGAGTCAGATGAACTTACATTTAATAATTCAGTTAATGTTGATTCGATTGTTGTCACAAAACGTCATTTAGCATCTGAGATTTCATCATTATTTGATCCACTTGGTTATTTTAGTCCAGCAGTCATGGTTGGAAAGATTTTGTTTCAACAACTGTGGGCTGAAAAATTGGACTGGGATGATGCTATTTCTCGAGAAATTGTTGACAAATGGCAAAAATTTAAGTCGGAAATTGATTTGATTTCGAATTTTCGTTTGCAACGTTGGGTTCATTTTAATCCGAATGATTGTATTGAACTTCATGGTTTCTGTGATGCATCCATTTGGGGCTATGCTGCTGTTTTGTTTTTGGTGAATGTAACACAAAAAACGTCACACATCTTGTTGGCTAAAGCTCGCGTTTCACCAATTAAGCAGTCTAAAAACTGTGAAAACGTTACAATTCCACGATTGGAATTGTGTGGTGCATTATTATTGGCTCAGTTGGTTAAAAAGACAATGGATATTTTGGATGTTGAGTGTAGTCGAATTTGTTTATGGTCAGATTCAAAAATAGTTCTGGATTGGATCCATGCAAACCCAAAGCGTTATAAGGTTTTCATTGCGTCACGAATTGCGAAGATTAACAAGCTTGTTGATCCGAATTGGTGGTCACATGTGCGTTCTGAAGAAAACGCAGCGGATTGTGCGTCAAGAGGTTTGTTACCCTCTGAACTTATTGCGCATCCATTATGGTGGCACGGACCACGATTTTTGATCGATAAGTCATTGGAGCCACCACGTTATCGTCATGTCATTGAACCTTTTGGTGAATTGGCTGAAATTCATTCACATGTTGGTGTGACAAAAAATGTTTACGATAGTGAGTTTTTGCCTAATGTTTCTTCATTTGGTAAGTTAAAGCGTGTTATGAGTTATTGTATTCGTTTTATACATAACTGCAAAAGTAAGCAAAAATTTGTTGGGCCAATTTCGCATGACGAGTTGTTTTTTGCTGAAAAAACAATAATCAAAATTGTTCAGGGTCAGTGTTATGACCAAGAATTGAAAATGTTGAATAAACATAATTCATTGTCATTCATGAAATCAAGCGCATTAATACAGTTAAATCCATTTTTGGATGTTGACGGTATTATTCGTGTTGGCGGTAGATTAAAAAACTCCGATATTTCTTTTGAAGCAAAACATCAGATTTTATTGCCATGCAAACACAATGTTACATTTTTGATCATACGCGATTCGCATGAAAAATGCCTTCACGGCGGACCAAAATTGACGGAATCTATTTTGAGACAAAGATTCTGGGTAGCACAGGGTACCCGTACGATTAAAACTGTGTTACGGAAATGTGTGAAGTGTTTTAGAGCAAATCCAAAACCTATGTCTCAATTTATGGGCGATTTGCCGGCTGTACGTGTAAATGCGGTTGAAAAGCCCTTTACGAATACAGCAGTCGATTACACTGGTGCCATTTTGGTGAAATTGACCAATGGTCGTGGATATAAAACACAGAAAGCTTATGTGGCTATTTTCGTTTGTATGTCAGTTAAAGCAATACACATTGAAGCAGTAACAGATTTAACAGCGGAGGCTTTTATTGCTGCTTATCGACGATTCGTTGCTCGTCGTGGTGTTATTCGGCGTTTATATAGCGACAATGGCACAAATTTCGTTAAAGCCAATAAAATTTTGATGGAAAATTTGTCTTTCATAGACGAGGCTACTTACGATGAAGCAATCTGTCATGAATTGGCAAAAAGTGGTACTTCGTGGCATTTCAGTCCACCTGGTGCGCCGCATTTTAATGGGCTTGCTGAAGCAGCCGTTAAATCCGTTAAATTGCATCTTAAGCGCGTTTTGGCCGATGCGAAATTAACTTTTGAGGAGTTAAGTACGCTTTTAACACAGGTAGAAGCTTGCGTTAATTCACGTCCACTCTGTCCAATGTCATCAGATCCCAATGATATTGGTTTTTTGTCTCCGGCTCATTTTTTGGTGGGTGAAGCTTTGATTTCACCACCTGAGCAGTGTCATTTGGAAACAAAAGCAAGCTGGCTTTCACGATGGCAAAAAACTCAGCAAATGATGCAATATTTTTGGAAGAGATGGCAAAATGATTATTTGCACCTTTTGCAAACTCGTACCAAATGGTTTAGGGAGCAATCATCTCCAAAACTTGGTGATATGGTGTTGATCAAGGATGAAAACTTGCCGCCCACTCAGTGGCGAGCTGGCAGGGTGATTGAAATTCATCCGGGTGCTGATGGTCACGTTAGAGTTGTTTCGTTAAAAACTCAAGATGGCCAGATGAAGCGACCAGTTGCGAAATTATGTGCTTTTCCACATAACAACGATGAAGCTTCAAATGAAGTTTCGGCTAATATTTCAAGATTTGTATCCCCAAAAAAGAGTTCTTTTGGTGTTTTGCCAATTATCACTGCAATTTTGTCTCTTTGTGTAACATTTTCACATCAAGCAGTTGTACCAGACAAACCTTATGAAATCACTCGGTTTGATACATCACCTGGGTTTTATTTTGACAAAACTCATGACGTGTACATTTCTAACACGAATTGGAAGGTTTATTTGCATTTCAATCTTGATTTAATGTTTAATCATTTTGATTCAATTCAGTCTAATTTTTCTACGGCCAAACAGATATGTTTCCGTAAGGCATCTTTGAATAGTGGTTGTAGAGGCGTTGTTGTTAATATTCAAAGTAAGTTGGATGCCATAGGGGCACGAAATGAGCTTATTTCCGGTGATCAAAGAGCCAAGCGAGCAATTCCGACTTTGCATTTCGTCGGTGATGTTTTGAGTGATGTTATTGGCACGTTGGGTTCAAAGTTTGAACAAAAATATGAACGAGATATTTCATTGATAAATAAGAATGAAGAACACATGCTGTTGCTGTTTAAAAATTTGTCTTCCATAGCAGATTCGACTTTGAATTTTCTCAAGCGAGATGAGATTGAAATGCAACGTTATACTGAGTTTGTTAGTGAGTTTGTTAATACCATTAAAACTGAACATGTTGGGTTGCAGGTTGAAAGCAATTTGAATTTTTACTTGTTTTATTTGTCTCAATTAATAAATGATTATGAACATCGGCAAGCAGCAGTTTTAGATGTGATCACCTTGTCAGAACGAAATCATGTTAGTCATGAGTTGTTTACTCCTCAGCAGGTTTCTGAGCAAGTGGAGGTGATTGTTAGAAATGTTGGTTCAGAGTATAGAGTGCCCACGGGTGTGGATGTGTATTCTGTTAGCAAGATCACTGTTTTGCGGTTGAAAAGTCAACTCATTTTCAAGGTTGCGATACCTTTGTTCAAGACACAGAAATTTAAACTTTTTGAAATCATTGCTGTTCCGACAATTCGCGAGAGCAAATTTGTCTGGATTTCGAACAACAATAAATTTTTGTTATCTGCAAATGATCGAACAGTTTTTCAGTTTATTGATGATATTTCACATTGTATTCAGTTTCAAAATAAAAAATCGTTGATTTGTCATCTTCCAACTCAATGGTTTACTTCAAGTAAACCAGATTGTGTGTGGAATATTTTTAATCACATGTCGTCCAATGTTTGTAATTTTTTTGAGGGGGTTAACGATGTCTTCTTTAAGAGTTTAAGGAACAATAGATTCATTTTTGTGGTCGAGAAACCGTTTAAGGTAACGGTTGTGTGCAGGGATCATGTCTCTCATGATTGGCTGGTGGGGGAGGGGCTTCTGACTCTTCAGCCACAATGTACCGTAGCAGGTGAGCATGTGTCGTTAACAACACGGTTCACGTTGGGAGAGGATACACACGAAATCGTTATCCCCAATGTGGACACGTTCGAGGCATTGTCACTTGATCGGGTCATAAAATTTAATACCACAAAAATGGAATTCAAGCCGAACGATATCGTGCAGCTTCAAAGAAAGTTAAACGAAACAGAAGAAAATTTACATTTGTTTAAGTTACATAATATACACCATTATTCATTTTCTTATGCGATTTTGGTTGTTGTTGGTATTGTTTTTACTGTTAAGTTCTATTCAAATAAGAAAAAAGTAGAAGCACCAGTGCCAATGCCAGAAGTAGAAGGCTAGTTTTGGCGCGTTCTCCTTTTCCTTCTGAGGGGGAGAATGTTGCATAAGCAACATAATTGTTTATATGAACATTTTATTTATATTATTATTGATGTTTTTATTTGTATTTGTGTCATGGTAATTCCGCTTGCATTGCGGAAAGCTTTTTTTTAGTTTACATATGTTTTATTGTTTTATTATTTCCGTATTTTTCGTGTATTTAAATTCTTGAAATTATCATTAAATTTTTAGTCTTCGGACAACGTTTATGAGCAAATGTTGCGTTTTATTTCTCTTCGTTAATCAGACTTATTGAACCACCAAATATATATATGCATTTCGGCATTGCTCGGGCGAACGAGTGCGTGGATTTGAACGTGGATTTTAATTCACCGAGACACTACACACACACGATCACGTACTGATGATGATGTGTCTATATATGTGGAAGTGTATGTTTATATCCAAGTTGTATTGCTTGTATAACTGTTGATACTGTTGATGTGCTTTGCTCTTTGTACCGAGAGAAGACGACAGCGATGACAATCATTTCGAAATTATTATTAAGTTGCAAACGATACGAGCTTTTTGGAATACAATTCCAAAAAGTGTTATGCATTTCTACTCAAATTGAAAGATAGGAGAATGCGATGCACACAAGCGTCCATGGCGTAGTCAAATGTAATCAGACAATTTCTGATATTATCATCACACCATTCATCTTTCTAGCACAATACTCAACGATGTGATATTCCTGTTCATTTCGTTGAATTTTTTTTGAATGAATTACGCTTTAAGCTTGCTTTATTTATTGGGTTAATAAAATTATGAGAGATAGTGTACAAAATGAGAATATTATACAATCAATACGATGTGACCATTAAATTGAATTGATTAAGATTCGTTTTCCGTGAGCATATTCAAAGCATGCATTTCACTTGTGCCCTTGATTTGAAAGAAAGTTTACTTATTTTTGCCATGCAAATAGTGTGCATGTTACATTGGCTAAGCGAACAAACCATAATTTGGTGACACACAAACATATACAATTCATGCCATGGTTTATAACAAATTCATAATGAAGCTTATGTTTTAATTAAATCAGGGAATTGTGATGTCAAAAAACAAATCTGTATCCAAGCGATTCGCTTAGACACTGTGACATAGAGCTGCTTGAAATGCGTGCACTGTTGCGTATTTAAATCCATTTGTATACCCGTAGCAGAGCCAAAAGATAGAGAAACAAAAACACAGAGAGAGAGAGGGATGGAGCGAAAGTGATGGATTCATTGGGACATGTAAAATATTAATAACAACGATTTGGTAGTAAAATTTTGTCATAAAACTCTTCTCATTCAACAAATAGCTCATATTTAAGAACGGTTTTCGTGCCATGAAAGTTCATTGCATCCATAAAACATACTCAATGGATGCTAATTTTTTATACTTTATTTTTTTGTTAGTTTTTTTTTTATGGTTGATGGCATTAAATTTTCTCGTGAGATGAATTTACTATGAATTTTACCGCAGTCGGACTTGTTTAACCCGAGATTCGGGTCTTGTTGTAGCACACAACAAAACACAATACGAACACGAACGAATTGAAAATGAATATGCCAAACAAATGAAAACCATTTTGCCCAGATACTAATAAACATTAATTTAACTCCAGAGATCACTCGATGAATGTTGCACGAACAACAAAGCTATTAATAATGTGCAACATTTGGAACCCCTCACATCGTTGACATGGTAAAAATAATTATGACAACAACGATATTATGTGCCCGAAGCAGAATTTGTGTCGATGACAAGACTTTCGAGGACAGTTTTGGCATCAAACAAAAATGACTGGCTCCGTCCGGTTATTCGAAATTTGATTTGTGGTAATTAAAATGAATTATTTTCTTATCATCAGGAAAAACATCGAATAAGTATTGCCGTCAGCATCACTTGACTAACAATAATGAAATGGTTTATTTCATGTCACTTTTGCTATATTTTCTACGTTCACCGAACGTATTCTATTCAGATATACACGTTGTCTATTAATTATTTTGAAATATTTCATTAAAATTACTAATCAGAATTACAGAGCAGAATTTAGTATTTTCAAGTTTTAAAATGTTTTTAAGGCGAAATTATTTTATTTGAACTGATCCGTCAGATGAAAACTACGCTTTTGTTGGTAAAATGCTTTATTAATTAGTGGAAAACAGAGAACGGTTGCAAATGAAGCACTGAACAAGTTGTTCTTATTAGGAAAATGATTTTCGAACATTTTAATTCATATTTTATGTCTCGCTGCACGGTTCAATGCAAATAAATTTGAAAATGCCGTCATCTTTCATCGCAAGTGGCCATAAAATGCATTGAATGTATTTTGACATTCATGAATACGACTCATTATTCGGAAAGTTCAAAAGCTGCTGACAATTGCGACAGACTCGAGCATAAATTTTATACATATCATTTGAAAAATGCAATAAAGTCCGTTGTGTTCCAATTAGAGCTCAATTTCATTTGGAAAATGGCATGGGCAATGCCATTGCAAAAATGGAACCAATCAAAAAAGCAAAAATCTCACTGCGACCGTATTTAATCATTCAATGCAGCTTGGTTTATGTTCATGCAGTTTGAATATAATACCACATTCAACAACAGCAACAACACCAAATAACGCAATTCATTTGAATTTCTTCTCAGCTACGTCCTAGGACCATAATTTGATATGTCGAAATGGAACTGAATATTTTTTCAAAAGTAATTTTGCCATTCGCGTTTAAGATCTGCAAAAAGTAAACAACATGGAAATAAAAGAAGCAAACGATGCAAATGATGAAGCAATAAAAGAGCAATATTTGAAAGCTGCTAACGTCAAAAAAGCGTCAATGTTTTTGTTCACTTCGATATAAAGCATGCATCCGAGAGTGGTCCTTGGTACAACTTACAATGCGGATCTTGCGTTCGCCTTCCCTGTCTCACAACTGAGCACTTTATAATGGCGCTTCAAATACCATTAGACGAGTACATTATTTCAACAGAACGCAAACAAAATAAGAACAATTTTGATGGTGGTATTGTTGTTGTCGTGCGTTATTTATAGATGGTTTGGCTACTGCTTCTCTGCCACTGCCATTGCTTCTTTATACCGGTTGGCGCACTTGCAATTTTCACTATCAGATAATAATAACAATGCTCATATTTTACTCTTGACTAATTTATTCGTCCGCTTTTTTCTCTCTCGTTTTCACTTTGTTCGTCGTTCTTTCCATTTCTTAAGCATTTCTTGGTATTTTTTAATGTTGTTAGGTTTTTTTGAAATGATGAAAAACGGGGGATAACAAAAGGGGCATACAAACACGTGATTACAATGAGATAATGATAATTAAGACAATGCTCTATAATTCAAGTGATATTTAAAAAAAGACGCTCCATCATACACCTTATCGTAGCCATGCCACCCCAAAGAGTTTACGCACGACGAATTTTTGGATTTCAAAAAGTCGTTTTCAATTCATAACATTCAGAGATGATTGGATTGAAGGAACAGCAGAAGCAACGAAAAAACGACCAGGGGATGAAAAACCGTTTGCTTCGTATTTGTTCTGCTTAATTTTTCTACGATTTTTCTTCATGTCTACAGATTATTTATTCGATCGCTATCTCGAAATAATGTTGACTGAGGTATAGTAAATATGTAATGAAGCACGGTGTCAGTTTCACTTCCCATTCGTATTATGTCAAAGGATTTGTTTATCCAAAAAAAAATTTCATCCCAAACAATGTATAATCAAATGTTTATCTTTGCCGAAGATTTCTGTCCGAAAGGCAAAATGAAAAAAGAAGATTCAGACAAATTCGCAATATTCGATTGGCGTTCAACTTTTCTTTTTTCTTTTTTTGAAAAGCGAAGATTTTATTATCAAATTTGCAATATACGAAGAGTAATGATACTTCTTGCAAAAGTTTTTTTTTTTTTCATTCAAGTTTTCATCATGTTCATCATCATTCAAGTTGTCATTATTTTTCCAAGAGAATTTGTTTCAGCAGATACACAACGACCGTTGATGAAAACTGGAAATGAAATATAATACGAATACAATGGTCCTATCACCAACTGTTTTGTCTGGGTGGGTAACGACGCTATAGACGAAGTATGACAAAAAACGCGTCTAAATGCTTCTTCAATTTTTGAAGAGGAAAACAAAAACATAAAAAAATTGTTTGCAAACAAAAAAAATGGAATCGTAGCTGTGTTGAACCAAGACAAGATTTCGTGGTCAAGCGAATGAAATTCGGATTGAAGAAATGGCGCACAAAATGAGTGACAAAAACAATAGGTTTCACAAGAATTTCGTCTACGATACACGCACAATAGAGGGCCTCTCGAGACAAACAAAAAGCAACCAAACGCACACGAATCAGTATGAACGAACAAACAAATATTCGAGACGATGGAAAATGAAAAAAAAAAACCGACGTAATGTGGATATAAAATATCATTTCATTTATGGATTCGCATATTTGCTCAAGTTCTCGTTTTGCTATCATTCTCTTTTTGGCAATGTGTCCTCGTCACGTATGTGTACATCAAAAGCCCAAATGTGATTCCATTAGTACCGGAATGCGTGCAGATCAACGCATTTCACCCTCCGCAAGAGAACTCATTGAGAAAATCGAATAAAAATAGAAACAAACAGTCAAAGAAACAAACGAAGAAAATGACAAGAATAAACCGCTAAATTTATAAATACACCGTATTAAGATGACGCCTCTTTACACGCATACACACTAAAAACTAAAAACAATTGAAGCAATAGAGAAATATACAAAATGTGGCTGATGACGATTCATCACATCATAAATAAAATATCAAAACAAACAAAAAAAACGAACAACAACAGACAAAACAAAACAAACAAAAGCATAAATCGTTCATTTGTCATATAAACGGCCAAATCTTCCTGATGCCACAAGAATTCATAATGTACACACAACCATTTGTAATTTGTTGTGAAGTTGGAATTGATGAGATCGGCAATGAAAACATAATGATAAAGTGGTCAAATATTTTTTTACACCCAAAAATTTATCTTCGCCAAAAACTGGGAAAATAATGAAATCGAAAAGAAACAAGAGGAAATTCATTTAAATGTTTATCTTAAAAATAATTCTTTTATCGAAAAATAAATTGCATCTATATTCTATGGTGAGAGTGGTAAATCAATTCATCTTACTAACCGGGAAGTTTATGTCACATGAACTTGAT